TGAATCAATGCTGCAATTTAGTTTATGTTATAATTCCTTCTTAGCATTTAATTGAATAATTATTTCATTTAACTCGTTAATTATCAGTTGCGGTTAATGAATTTTTCACCTAACGCAACAACGCAGCAACGCTTTGCAATTAAATTTTAAATAACCTGTTAACACTCAACTTTGACCTTCGCTGAACTGTTTTTTTTTTTACTTTCCACATATTCTTCGCCATTTAATTTAACACATATCATGTTCTTTATGTTTACTTTTGTTGTTGCATTCTCATTTATGTTTCTTCTGACATTTCAGTTCATTTACGCTTACGCCCATTAACTCCCCCTTTATGAGAATTTTTATATTTCATCTGCCACCTCTTTTGGCATATTCATTTCATTTACGTTGTGCTGCCGCAACTACGACAACAACAACAGCAAGTCAGAAAATAAAAATGTTATTAACAGTTGCGAGAAAATATATGTATGTAGTTAATACCTTTGTGTAATGTGATAAATAATGTTGGCTGTCGGTGAGGTGGATTGGTGGTGGTGTTTTGAAAGTCGAGGCGAGTCACTGGGTGCCAGTGTGTGGTGACTTACCGCACCTATATCACCGCTATAAATTGCATATAATATTACAATAAAAACAAAAACAATCGCTCGTACACACATTTTTCTACGCGACTAACGCAAATATATCGATTACATCTCCAGTATGTTGAGGTTATCGCACGTGTCGGTGAAAAATTCAGTTTTCCAGTTATACTGTCTTCAAATGTGTGTTGTACGTGATTTCTGTGTTCGTTAGTTTTTCTTGTGATTTCTTATTTATTTCATAGTTTGTTGCAGATTTTGTTTATTTTCTATACTTAAAGCTCCAATTACTTGCGATAATAACACGTCATAAAAAAGAAAACCTACATGCATATGTCTTATTGGCGTTTTAGCAAAGGTAATCGTTGGCTCAAGCGGTTTAACCACTGTTCGTTTTGTAAATTGGAAAATTTAAACCATTTCTATTTTTAAATTAAAATTCTTAGATAACCTTGAAATTTTTAATGCTATAATCGGTTTGTAGGATCTTTAAGAGTTCCTGTTTCAAAATTTATAGGTTATGCTTTGCTGAACCGCTCAAATAAACATGTAACCTCAAACGAATGCCTTTTAATGACTGCAATTGACTCATGGCATTCCTCGAAGTGGATTTTTTAGTTTCAAAAACAGAAAAATGTCATAAGCAGCCAGATCTGCCGCATATGGTGGCTGAGCGATGGCTCTTGTTTCGTATTTCGCCAACAAGCCAGTCACAATCATGCGCTAGAATGGTGGTGAAAAAACTATGTATTTTCTGCCACAAATCCAGTCGTTTACGACGAATTGCTGCACGTAGACGCCTTCAAACGAACAAGTGGTATTCCTTATTGACCGTTTGACCCTGTGGAACGAATGCATCCTTAACCATACCACAGTATTCAAAGAGAACGATTAGTATAACCTTGATTTTTAACCGACTTTGACGGTTTCTATTTAAGGTTTGAAGCTCGATTCGCACGATTGTTGCACAGTTTCGAAGTCAGAAGTATTATGCGTTTGAGTTTTTATATGTAGATTCCTCAGCTCCTTTGTCGAGCATCACTTTTGCGACCACTACTCGATGACGTTTTTGCAATATATTCAGGTCATTTGGTACGAAATGTTGAGTTGCTCAGCTATCTCTATGATGCCAACACGACGACTTTACCTGCGTAATGGATAGCAATCCAGAAAACGAATGCAGTTGGAACTCAAGTATCGACAAAGTGCCTTGAACTACTAGCACCTGAAGTGCTGAAGATTTGTGATACAAAGTATTTCAGCTTTGATCACGCAAAGGTTTCTAGTCAAGTTGGTACCAGACTATAGCTACTTTACAAAGAGCGATCAATATCAAGTTCTTATATGGATAAGTTTGTTATATGACCTGAGATCCTCACGAAATTCGGCATTATATAATATTAAATTATAGTACAACTAAAAAATATAAATATATCATTGCTATGTATATTATCTTCAAATTTAAACATTTTTTCTTTGCCTGTATTCGAATTAATAGCTTTTAATTTCGTACAGTTATTCGATAAGATTACATAACAAACCCGTACTTTTGATTTTCATTTTATTTATTGGTTTTTTTAAACAACAACTTTTTAACAACAATTTTACGTGCTCTGCCAACAAATAACCTTCATTTGAATTATTTAAAAATTCAAACAAGTCGTGCCAAAATTCGAAACGTATTAAAAAAATGCATACTCGCATAGCCGCACGCTCTGACACAAGCAAATACAACACTGTCGTGGAAGCGCAGTTACTTGCATTGATCAATAATTACACGAACTTTCTTCCAACACAAATTTAACGTAATTTATCTCGTTAGCGCATATTTCACTTTTTCTTTCTGTTTTTGTGTCATTGCACGAGCCCTGTTGCAATTGGAATTCACAGTTCATTGATATGACAAACTGTTGTTGGAAATTGCGGCAGAATATACAATGGCAACGAAGTTCATGCTAATAAACCAAATAAAGCGAGATGAAATTCGAACGTGTATGTTGACATTTTTCCATGTCTACATGTCTATTCAAGAACGAATATACGAGTATTTATGTGAGTTTACTAAAATTCTGCTGTATATACGATATATGCGCGCATATTATAAAAAACAAATCTAAAATATTTCGCAATTCGCTTCCGCACAACAAATTATTAATGACTTTTGTCAACGAATTCTCTCTCGCGTTTTTTGTGTCGGCTTCACGTCACTCGGCGCTAGTTCACGCTTCAATGCTATTTGGGTCAACGCAACTGCCCGAGGCGGCTGCTGCACGCTACACATTTTAGTAAGTAAAAAAGTAATATGCTCGCTGTTGTAAAATTCTATAAACAATGCATAGAAATACATATATGCATACATAGAAATTGATATGTCTATTGATACAAGTACATAGCTGAATATTTTGATCATTTTTCGAGAGCAATATATTTGATGTAAATCTGTAGCAACGCAAGTGTAATCACTTTCGCATTAATATTCTACATTTTTGCTAGTAAAAAGCACTTGTAATTGTGTATATAAAAAAATATACGATTGCACTGAATTCATTAACGAAATTAACATTTTACAATGCAAATTTTAGTTGAGTACTCAAAAAAAAAAAATCTAAAAATAAAAAAAAATAAAAAGTTCAAAAAATGCAGCTAAATGACGCAAACAGGTCTAAAGTAAATTATTCTGGTTTGTTATGCAAATTAATTTGCAAAGCATTTAAATATACAAAACATCAAAAAAAAAAATTGTTTTCAGCAAAAATAAAAATATTTAATTGTTTCTAAATTTTTTTTTCAATTTACTACTCGCAGACTAACGTCACAGCACCACAATGGTATTTAAAAAAAAATAAGCTAACTTGAAAAAAAAACACTCAGATGATTGAAAAATTTAGCAAATTTTTTTCTTCATATATTTAAACAAAATAGTGAAAGTTTGAATAATATGATGATTGAATAAATGTGATGATTTCTAAACATATGAAAATTAATTATATAACATTATAAGATCTAGTAAAACGAAATTCGTTATTTTTCCAATAGATGGCTCCAGCATGTGAATCTGTATCTAGCGTTGTAAAATTGCGCTATATGGCGTTAGAAAGTTAAGATTTCATAGTAAAAAAAAAACTTCTCAAACAGTTTTGTGATTAGAAGTGTTTGAGCACGCGGAGAGCTGGATAGAAAAACAATGTATGGGTGTCATACGAGTTATCGCAAAACCACTTCATGGACCGTGTCACTTATGAAAGCGTATAGACAAATTTGTGGTATAAACGCTCTGAGTTGATGTAAACGGTGGCCGAGTCAGAATTGACGGTCAGGAAGGATTTACTAGGTGTTTGATGGGATTGACGTTGAATCATCTACTATGAGCTGCTACCCTACGACCAAACTTATAATTCGGACCTGTACTATTTAACAGTTTGCTAATAGCAATTGGACCATCTGAAAGAATCAATCGCTTAGAAGCGAGCCAAACACATCGATAGTGACTCACCAGGAGCTCCGGCAGCTTGGTTGAGAAGTTCTTATGCAACCACCTTGTAGTTTGGACCTTATACCAAGTGTTTACTCTGTGTGCCTACCCATGGCGAATCATTTTGCTGGTGAAATATTCGCCTGAAGAGCAGCTTGGGAAAATCGACTGTGCCTGTTTTTTCTTTGTTTGCCAATAGCGACGGGAGTTTCTTTGATAGAGATGACAACAAGCTATCAAACCATACACCTAAATCGGCTCATTCTAATTATGCTAAATAAAATCTTCAGATAAATGCAAAAATACTGGCTTTAATTTTACTAGACCTATTACTTTATTTAATTTCACCAGTTAACTCAATAGTTAGTAAATATTTTATACAGCACTAATGGTTGTAATTAGAGAAATGTCTTTACTATTCGTTCATTTTCTTTGTGTAAGCGATAAATCGTGCTCATATTGCTTGCCACTCTGGAGATTTTTTTATTTGTTAATGGGTGGCTCCAGTGACCGAGGGAGAGGGAGAGTTCGGGTACAGCTACTCCCGGGCCCGGAGTTCTCAAGGTGTTCCGGTGCTCTACAATAATTTTTTGCAGTTTTTTTCTCCAACAATTTATGGATCAGTGGGACCCCATCCATAATGCTCCACGGGCTGCGGTTTTCTCTCTCTATAATCTTAACCTAAGCTCAAAACACACTTCAAATTCTATAGATTGCAAATTTGTTAGAAATAACATTAGCTACGAATTATATTTAATAATCAGCTTTATCAGACAGCGTCTCTAAAAGTACAGAAAAAAAAGTTTACAGAGATCTAGTTTTCTCTAGTACAGAGATAAGTTTTCAGTATACCTATATATATATATATATAAATAAGTTTTATACATATTTTGCTTCTACAAAAAATATTTAAATTGATTAAAAATTTCTCCATTTGTTATTCACAGATTTTAAACATGGAAGATGATTCAAATTGGTATCGTGCCGAATTAGACAGTAAAGAGGGTCTCATACCCAGTAACTATATAGAAATGAAAAATCATGAGTGAGTGTGTGCTGACTTCAAGTAGACGATTTATAAAACATTATTTATTTTCATTTTTTACTTCTTAATAAATACAGCTGGTACTATGGCCGCATTACACGTGCCGATGCTGAGAAATTGCTCTCAAATAAACATGAAGGTGCATTCTTAATTCGCATAAGTGAATCCAGTCCTGGCGATTTCTCCTTATCAGTCAAGTAAGTGTACATTTTTTTTTTTTGTTTTTTTTACAAAATGTATGAGATTTTTAATAATCGCTTCTATAACCACACACGCAGATGCCCCGATGGTGTGCAACATTTCAAAGTTTTACGCGACGCACAGGGTAAATTCTTCCTTTGGGTTGTTAAATTCAACTCACTCAACGAGCTGGTGGAGTACCATCGAACCGCAAGCGTATCAAGATCGCAAGATGTCAAATTGAGAGATATGATACATGAAGAGGTGAGTGCGTTGAACTTGATTTGCTTAGAGTGCGTAATTGTAGCTATTTTTACTATTAAAAGTGAACTGCTAAGGTTTGGTTTACTTGCTTATTTATGGCATTTAATGCGCGCCTGAATGTAGGCCAAAAATATTTTTTGCGCATTTATTTCGCTTTTTTGCTGCGGATTTATATAAATTATTTCCGTTTTATGCCATATGGAGGGTGCCACGAAATTTGTAACACCCAAAAGAATCGCCCTATAAAATATACTATATATACATAAATGAACAACGAGACGAGCTAAGTCAATTTAGCTTTGTCTGTGTGTCTGTATATACACGCACTAGCTCTTCAGCTTTTGAGATATCGATCTGAAATTTTGCAAGCGCCTTTTTCTCTCCAAAAAGCTGCTTATTTGTCGGAACCGCCGATATTGAACCACTATAGCATATAGCTGTCATACAAACTGAACGTTCGAAATCAAGTCTTTGTATGGAAAACTTTTTTATTTGACGAGCTATCATCACGAAATTCGGCATACGTTATTGTCCAAGGCTACGGTGTAATCTCCGAACAAATTGTTTAGATCGGACCGCTATAGCGTATAGCTGTCAGGCAAACTGTTCGATCAAAATCAAGCTAAAGATTTTTTAGACACATTTATGCTATAAGAAATGAAACTGTGAAGGGGATTATAGCTTAGGTACAGCCGAAATTAACCTATGTGTATTCTTGTTTCAATTTTTCAATTACGGCATTTTACCTGTGTGCGTATTATAGCTTAGGTACAGCCGAAGTTAACCTTTTTTCTTGTTTTATTTTTTAAAATTATACCATTTTAAGCGCGCCTAAATGTAGGCAAAATTTTATTTCCACGTTTATTAATTGGTTCCTTCAATAAATTGTTCGTCAAAATTTTAACTGCGCTCCTAAATGTAGGCAATGTTTTATTCTTATGCATTTACTGCGCTTTTTACCGCTGATTCATATAAATTATTTCCTATTAATTAAGCTATTGCCAAATTTACTATAATTTCTTACAATTTTCGGTTTATATAATATATCTAAAATTTTGTCATACTCCATTCTCTATATTCTTCTACTCTCTCCACGTGACAGATGCTCGTACAAGCATTGTATGATTTTGTGCCACAAGAATCTGGTGAATTGGACTTTAGACGCGGCGACGTCATCACCGTTACAGATCGATCTGATGAGAATTGGTGGAATGGTGAGATTGGCAATCGGAAAGGCATCTTCCCAGCAACCTATGTAACGCCATACCACTCATAATAGAATAGAAACTCGTAAAATAATGAATATATAATTGAAAATACAAATAAAAGAGAGAAAATTAAAAAGAAAAAACAATAACAACAACAACAACAAAACACTGCACACAAGAAACAAAAACAATAAACGAACACACAACAACAATACTTGAAAAACGAACCACCAACAATAATAATAGCAAAAAACAAAAACACTTTCCAACAACAAATTTTCACAAACACACACAGAAATCGGCAGTGTTATAGCTGCAACAACACCAATAGCAATCAGAACTGTACTACCGTAATCAGCAACAAGCGCGCAACAACAACAAGTGACACTTCAATAATTCTCCAATTTTAAAGTATTTAGTTTACATAGTAATTTGCGCATACTAGCAATAGCTAGCAATAGTTTATAAATTTTTTTCAATTTTTTTTTTTTGCTGGTGTGTTGAAATGCAATACTCGCCAAATGCACACCGACAGCCACCGTTAGTTGTGTGACCTATCATTCAGCGGTTCAATTGTATACAAAGCCATACATACATACATACACATACAAATGCGATACATCACAGCATCATTTATTACAATTATACACACAAACATATGTAAATATGCATGTATGTATATGTATTTTTTGTACGCGAACGCTTGGAAAGCCGTTGACCGTGTTTAGCAACAAAACGAAATTGTATTGCATTGTCGGTTGTATGAATTTTCATTTGAGGCTGACTCGTTAGCTATGAAGCAGGTACGCATATTGAGTGTTTTAATGAAGTAAAGTAGAACAAGAAGTATTTTCTCGTGATTACAATGCTTTGACATAAAGAAATACTACTTTTTTTTTAATGTTATAAAAACTGTATCACGACATTTTTCACATTTTTTTTTGCTTATTCTTTTAAGCAAAAAAAATAAAATTTAATTTTTCATGCCAACATCCAGGTAAAAAATTTAAATTTAATTAATTAGTTAATTTATTTAATTTTTCATCCCAACATCGGAATTAAAAAACGTCTGGGATTAAAAATTGAAAGTTAAAAAAAATTTAATTTTTTAATTTGAATGAAGTACAAACAAAAAAATTATAAATTTTAAAATAATTTCTTTTTTTAAATTCTTAATTATATGCTTGGCACTCAAATTTTTTATTTTTATTTTTTAACCGGTAGTTTGCATTTAAAATTAAATTAAAATTAAAAATAAATTTTTAATCCGGTATGTGTGTAAATTTTTGTTTAAACGCCTTGTCAGATAAAATTTTTTTAATAATTTAACAGAGATTACAAATTAAAAAAAAATTAATTCAATTTATTATTTAATTATTTTTATTTTATATTGGGTTCGATTTGTTTTTGGAACTTTACTCAACTGTTTTATTTCCTTTTTTCATAAGATTTGATTTGATTCGTTTTGTTTAATTTTTTGTGTAAAAATTATTTTATATTATTTTTTTTATTTTTTTTATAACTATTTTTATTATAACTTTTAATTTTTTTATATTTTTAAAACGTAAACTTTTCTTAACTGATTTATTTGCTGTTTTCATGAGTTTTCATTCGATATATTTTGTTACAATAAATTTTTTTTATAATTTTTGCTTTAAATTTTTTTGATACCATTTTTTAACTTTTTTAATGTTTTTATTATTTTGGTTTTATTTTTATTAACATAAACTTTTCTCAACTTGCTTTTTTCAAAAGTTTTCTATTTGATTTATTTTGTTTAATTTTTGCTTTAAATTTTTTTTATATTATATTTTAAACATTTTTTTATTTTTATTTAAATTTTTTTTTTTGTATTTTTAAACAAAATTCTCTGTTTTTAAACTTTATCCATTCGGTTTTTTTTTGATAAAAATTCTTTTGATAACTTCTAAGCAAACTTTAATAAAAAATGAAAACGAAATTTGTATTTTTTTATATTATTATTTTTATATTATTTTTTTATATTTCTTATAATTTTTGATACCATTTTTTTATATTTTTATACATTTTTTTGATTATTTTTATACATTTTTTTAATTATTTATTTTATATTTCTTATTATTTTTTATATAATTTTTTTATATTTTTATACATTTTTTTTATTATTTTTTTTATATATACTTGTATATTTTTATATATTTGATTATTTTGTAAACATAATTTTCAGTTTTTGTTTTACTTTATGCAACTGGTTTAAATTTCTGGGAGAAATTTTCAAATAAAAACTTCTGAGCTAACTTTAATAAAAAATAAAAAAAAATTATATTTCATTTGTTTTGTATTATAATTAAATTTTATTTTTTTTTTTTTGTAATTTGACCCTAGAAAATAAATCCGTTTTGCATAAATTTGTATTTAATTTTTTACTTTCTTTTAATATATATTTTTTGTCTTAATATTAATTTTTTTATATACTTATTTTTTTATTATTTATTTTTTTAGTATTGATTTTTTTAAATTAACTTTTTTGAATTTTTTTTTATTATTATTTTCAACATATATTTGGTTATTTTTTTTTTAATTTTTAACTTAGCATATACATATGTATATGTACATATATGTACCCGTTACCCACATAGCCTCAAATGAAAATTTATACAACAACAAACAAACGCTACATACACAAATCAAACTGAAACACACAATTTAATGCGATTACACCAACAGCAACATAAACACAAATATAAATTTAATACATTTTGATATGCATTTTTTAAGTAATTTATTTTTAATGAATAAATCGAAATGAAATACATTTGATTTGTAGTCAAAATTAAAGCAGTTGTTTTTAGAAAATAATTGCTGGTTTGCCAAAAGCAAAAAATTTACTCACAATACATAGTTTAACTTGAAAATGTAATGATAAAGTTGAGCTGGACCTTTGCTGTTTGCATATTTATTACTATTTTTCAAACTAACAATTTTGTTTGTTATGAAAAATTGCAAAATTAAAAACAAATATTTTGTTGCCGCGCTGCATACAAATTTGCTGCAATATACAAGTATTTCATGTAAATTACGTTCTTCCGGTGCTCCTACGGTTTTTGTTTTTTAACTTGCTTTAAAATGTTCTATACAATTTTTTATCTGCTGTATAACTGTATATTTTTATATAACAAAGTATTTATTTATCTAAATATTGTGTCATGTTTAAAATTTATATACATATATAATTTTTGTTTGTCTGCCACGTTTTTCGTTGTGCAACAAATTTTCGTAAACATAAAGTTTTGATAATAATAAAACATATTAAATAATTTACACAAATAAAAAGTGCTAAGTGACGTGAATCATTGATTAAAAATAAAATAATGTAATAGTGTTTATAATAATTACATTAGGTTTTTTCATATATACATATATATATATATATCTATATATGTACATAGCAACACATATATACATATTATATATAGTACGTAAATAATGTTTATGCATTGAAATGCGTAAGAAATGTGAACATAAAAATAAAATATTTAAAAAAAATAAGTTTTACGTTCATAATTTGCGCCTAAAAGTATGATATGCGTCATTTAGTGAAAAATTGTTTATTTAACAGTAAAAATTGCTTCGTGGCGCACGATTTAGTTCGCAATAGTGCTGAAAATAGGGAAGCGGTGAAGTGTGCAATCAAGTTTTTTTTAATAAAATGTCAACGAAAAAAAACAAGAAATCTGTAATGTAATAAAAACACATGAAGTAAAAAAAAATGCACAACAACAGCAAGCTGCACACTAACGGTTCTAGCAGTAATTTATATTGCCATAAATTAAAGAAGTACGTAGAAATAAAAGTTTTGCTGCTAAATGCGCAGCAATGTTAATAGAAATGCGCTGCTTGTATACAGATTTATTGAATTTAAAATATTTGGCTGCTTTTTTTTTTAGTTTAATTTAAGTTTGTTTTAAATTTGTGGTGCAGCAACAGCCAGTTAGCGCATTTTTCGTTTGCTCATGCTGTGTATTTGATTTAAATATTTGTGTTAAAAGCGAAATTTTAGTTTTTATTTGAGAAATAAATTTAATTTTCAACTAGAAGCTAATTTTATTTGTAGCAATGCAAATTGGAACATTTTTTCCAAATAATAATTATTGTTGGAGAATAAATTTAATTTACAAATAAAAGCTTATTTTATGTAAGCTTATTTCATTTGTGGCTGCCAAGCCGAAAATTTTTTGGAAATAGTAATTATTACCAAGCAGAAGAAATGAAAACATATTATTAACCGTTATATGAAAATAAAATGTTTTAATCGAAAATTAATGTTTTATTAATATTTTTGAGAAAAAAAATTTAATTCACTTTAAGTTTTATGGAATAATTAATTGTTCTAACCAAAAAACGAGACGAACTTTGAAGACGAAAATTTAAATAGCAGATCTTGTGTCTACTTCAGAGTTAGTTGACTGAAAGTTTCAGTTCTTTTACAAAGTTGTTAGAAATAAAATATTTTTTGAAAAAAAAATTACGTAAAACTTTTAAATCCGTTTTTTTTTGTCAAATCCTATTTTTTTTTGTCAAACTTCAATTACTTTTTTATAATAATATAAAAATAATATTTCAGTTCATTTATATTTTCTTATATCATACATATACATACATAGGTATGTTTGTATGCATATTGTAATACCGTAATCTTTTTATTTTTTTACAAAACTTAGCTTTTTTTTGCAGTTTTTGGATTATATGCTCATAACCCAACTTGTTCATTATAAATTCTAAACTTAAAAAAAAAATATAATTATTATTTGTTTTATTTTTGTAATTTTTAACATATTCTGGTAATTTTTTGTTTTGCAATTTTGAGCTCGTTTTTGCATTAAGTTATTGAGACATGAGGGTGCTTCCTACATATGTAAAAACAAAAAACGAAAAAAAACTTGTTTTCAAAATTATTGTAAACATTTTAAAAAAACAAACTTTTACTTTCAAAATTATTGCAAAGATTTATAAAACACAAATTTTTAACTAATGCACAGTGTGAATGCAAATTAAACAAACAAACAAAAATTGAAATGGCACAGTTAAGCAGTTAATGAGCACAACTTTATTCATTATACTTAAGCATATATACATATATATTTTTGAAATAGTTTGTGAAATGTTTTTGTTTCTTACATTTTAGTATTTTTAAAAATATTAAATAAGTATGCGTGTTTATATTTTTAATATTTTTTTTGTAATAATTAAGCAAATAATCATTATAATTTGCATAAATTATATGACATACATTTATATTATATAACATATTGTACGTTTATATGCCTTGATATAAAATATGAATATGAAATAAAAATTTAAATATAATAATAGTAATAATATGACAGTAATGAAACAAGTCTTTTTTTTGTAAAATAAAATTTCAATATTTTACAATTTATTTTATTTCCGGCAGTTTATATATTATAAATTCATTTAAACCTTTAAGTCACTTGCAAGGCGAAAGAACGCATTTTCGTTTTGCAAAAGTTTGGATCCCTTTGAACCCGTAGCCGATCTCCTGCAGCATCTGCTCAAATCTAAAAACCAAACAAAAATTGTTGCTAAAGTTGAATACAGATAATGATTGAAGAACTAGTGAAAATGCAAAACTTGCGATTAATGCCACTCATACACACCAAATACCTAGGGGAGTCCATAATTTTCTCTTTCTGTTTTGTTATGTATCTGTGGATTTCAGTAATTTTTAAATTATGAATAATGACCCAAATACACAAATAGATTTTTTTGCAATGCTTTGATTTTACCTCGAAAAAAATTTATTTTAGATATACAGCATATTTTCAAAAGTTTGCGCAAGCTGTTTACACAAACTTATTTCGTTTATTTTTACAAATTGCATGCAACTCTGCCAACAGCCAACTGTCAATTTGACATTTTCCAATTGGACAACACGCACACAACAATTTTGACATACACGCACACGAGCTCCCGCAAGTTTTCCTCACATCTCTTCATTGACATTTCTATCGGACATCGTTTGTGTGAAATTTTCGCTCGACATTTGTCGTTCTTTTGCACATATTCGAAAGCAGTGCATTTTCATCGGATCACTACGTGGAAATTGTGAGTGAAAAGTGTGCTTAAGTTAACTGATTGAATTTTCGCGTAGCAACAATTAATTTAACACCGGAGTAAATGTATTTGAAGTAGTGAAATTATAGCAACAAACCGGCTTAATAATAAGAGTAAGCAAAGCCAATTTAACCAAATAAAAAAATACGTAAATTTGGCCAAGATCCGTAGAAAATTTTAGCGTATTTATAGCAGTGTGTGTACGTGTATCAGCGGAAAAATAAGTGTTTTTGCTTAAAGCGAAACTTGTACAAAAGCGTAAAAGTCAAACACGTGAATAAATCGCACAAGTAAAAGTAGTGCATATTAAGAAAAGAGGTGTAAAAGTTTGAAATCATACTGAAACGACAGCAGAAAGAGAAATTGTTATTTATTTTACATATATGTATATATAGCCCATTAGAATTTCCGCAGTATTTTGGAACATTCGAAGTAAATTCTAATACAATTTTTTATACTTATATAAAAAAAACCACTTGAATTTTGTAACGAACGCACGCATAACCAACGCAAATACAGAAACTGACCTCCGCAGCAACGAGAAAAATTCAGGCGCATTAACTAACATGTCATCAATCACATATAAGGAGCGTGTACTCAGCGCTCAACAGCTGAAAAAGTTGTCGGAACACAAATACGCCTGCACAAGCAGTAGTCTGTTGGATCCATGGCTACAGCCTTGGTGGAATTGGCTTGTTTCAATGACGCCGCTATGGTTGGCGCCCAATCTCATAACAATCATTGGACTGATTGTCAACATAGTGACAACATTAATTTTAGTATCGTAAGTATTAAACAATAAATTAAAATAATTTTATAATTTCCACAATGGCATGTACATATAAATATGAATATCGTGCAAATGCGCTGTATTTCGCAGCAAATACTGACATTTGAAAATGCCTGCGAAAAATTTAATTGGAGTGTTATATCAGCATTGCTGGCTATTGCGTATCAATTTTCATCGCGTTAATTGGTGGAAGGGTTATTTTATCTGATTAGCTATATTTTTGTATGTTATGAAATTTTCACAACCTTCCATTTTCGGTATTGCAATTCGCGATTTTCGCACATTTCCCGTAATTTTTGCGGTGCTGTTGACAACAGCTGCTGCAATAAAAACAATGCTGATGCTGACAGTGCTGCTCTGTAGTGCCAATTTGTTGTTATTGAGAGTACTTCGACGAGAATGCTAATACATTTACACACAATTGCTCTCTTTGTGGTTGTTGGTATATAGCGGATGTAAGCGAGGAGCTGGTGATAAAGTGCATTGTGAATAATCAAATAGGAAAATGTTGTGTCGGGGAAAATTGTAGCATATTTTGGTTAAACAGGCATATTTCATTAAATGCTTTCTAGGTTCCTTAAGCAATAATTATGAATTTACTTGCATAAAGTGTGCATATGCATATGTAAGTATAATTTACTTGTTGTACGTCAATGCTGAATGCCTTGCATAATAATAAGCTGAATTTATTTCGACTTTTTTTTTTGACATTTAGTACTCTGTTCCCCGTGCCCATGCATTTTTTATTAGCCTAATTTTTGCTGAACTTGCCCTTCTCGTTAACCGTATAGTTTAATGAATGCAGTCGCATTTACTTTGACTTTTTTGTGTTTTTTTTTTCACTACTTTTACTTGTGCGAGTTTTTTTTTCAATTCACAGTCCACGAAATTACTATGCTAAAAAATTTACAGAAATATAGAAAAGAATACTTGCTTAAACGTTAGTCACTTGTGACACCCTACATGGAGACTTCTTATACCCCTTGCTTTGGGTCACCTTGATTAATGAATTAATACTTCTATTCGACAAGGAAAACTTTCAAGGCCGTCTGCCGCGCGGATGAGCTCGTTGTCCTTTGTTCAGGGATGAATCTTAATCGCCTATCCCAGCTTATAGACGGGCACTTCACATCCAACAGCCAAATCCGAAGAAAAAAGAAAGCTGTCATTTCACAAGAAGGGCAAACATTTCAAATTGCATTCTCGAGCTCTGCCAAGAAAAAAGGACAGAACATAGAGCTTCAAATTTCATGCAAAAGGGAACTTAGTAATATTGTAGGGGTCTTCATAGATTCTATCATCAGAAAATTGAAAAAGTAGACTCGGAAGATGATGAGACGCTGGCTCATTACCTTTGCGAATGCCCAGCCTTCAGCCTGCTGAGACGGGATATCTTCCACGGCTTCTAATGATATTAATTAGGAAATTCGGACTGTTTAATCTGATTATTGTCAGCTGTGTGTAAGGTGGCGTGAATAATATAATTTACATATAAATGAAACTTTATTGCTATTCATAATATACAGCAAAGCAATTTATTCTGAAAATTATTGTTATTCCCATTGTTATTGCTTGTGCAATGCAACAATGAAATGGTAAATACCTCCTAGTCTTTTACCATAAATAGATTTTTATGAAAAAAAAGTTAAAATATATTGTAGTTAGGGAATAGGTATGTATGTGCGAGTGTGATTTATAATTTTGTAATTTTATGACTTTGCAACACATACACACGCACACACACTCATTGCACAGTCTTCGCTACTGGCAGTTAGCTTTCTTTTGATTTTCTGCAAATATTTTCGCTACTTTCGTTTTTGCTCATTCATGTACATACACATGATTACATGCGATTTTAATGATCGCTTTCATCTCATTGACTGTTACCTTCACGCTGTCGCTATCGCTGTCTATTCCGCCATAGTCTAGCGCTGTGCATCATCATAGTATTTAAAACGCCTACTGGCTGCTGATGGGCACCATAAACACACTGATTGAGTAACAGTGTATTGGCAAAATGCATGACTAAGCAATGCAAATTGATTTACAGATATACATACATATGTATGTAAAATTAATAAATATATGGAATGCATAGTTTATGTATGTATGTATGTGCCTGTATAATGTAATAGCGGGTAAGCAGATGCAATGCAGCCTAATTGCCGTCATTACTATATTGCTCGCTTGTTGAAATGCATTCTTCTGTGAGATGTACCCTTAATAAGCGTGTATGTTTATTTGAGTTATTACTTGTTGCATGATTCATCAGCTTTTCAGTTTGATTTCGCGTCAACTTAACTAGAGCGTTTTCTTTTACAAACCGTTTGGAAATTTGTAGCTTTTAAATTATGTGTGTTTGAAAGAAATAAATTTGTACGTTTCAGTAGTTGGTGATTTGCAGACTTTTGATTTAAAATAGTTTTGAAGAATATTGCTATCGTGAGTTTTTGTCCGGATTTACCATAGATCTAGTCGTCGATCTTCGTCACAGTTCCTTTTGCTGCCGAACGTGATATTTGGAATAATATTCCGCAATTATTTGTGAAATTATTCATAAAGTTATAATATGAAAAGCATAAAAAATCTGTAGCTTAATTTTGATCAGTCAGTTTTTATGGCAGCTATATGCTATAGTAGTCCGATCTGAACCATTTCTTAGAAGATGGTACCATTGCTTTGTAAAATTATCTGCTCCAAATTTCGTAAAGATAGCTTGTCAATTAAAAAAAATTTCCATATAAGAATTTTTTTTTAATAGCTCAGTTTGTATGGTAGCTATATGCTATAGTGGTCCGAT